AGTGCTGTCTTGGGTTCTCTTTTCTTCTATCTCTAAACTTTCTTGGTAATCTTATCAGTTCCCATGAATTGGACTATCACCTCTAAGCAGAAGACTCAATCTATAGCTTGCCCTTGTAAGGTACAGGGTTAGAGAGACTCCCCAGCAATGCTGAGAGAGAGAGAGAGAAAGAGATGTGGATATGGATATGCATATATGCATACACGCATATATATATGTATATGTATATATACATAGATGAATCTAGCTATATAGGTAAGAATAGACATAGATAATATATAGACATAGATGCTGTTGTTGTTGTTGTTTGTTCATACCTTGTTTTCAAAGAGGACCAATGACATCATGAGGCAATGTCTTGACTTGAGCATCAATTAGATTAAAGTGAGGCAGAGTCGCACAAAGTTGTCAGCCTTAGTCTTCCAGAATCATTGAAGTCCAGCGGTAAGACAAAAGTCAAGATGACTGGTGGTGGCCGGGACTCAGTGGATGACCTTGGAGTCTTTGATGTCTGACCAAACGTTTAGAGCTCCATAGCACCTGCTTCAGCCGCCTTCCTGGCCAGCAGAACAAATTGTTCTCACGCACCCATTCCTCTGGAGGAAGTCTTTATGTGCTGGGGGTAGACATCGCCCCAACTCAGCAATGGGTTTGAGGCCTATTGATTACCTTCAACCTGGTTTAGCCAGTCTGTTAAGATGGTTTTATCCTGAGCATGCTACAGGTGTAGCCACAGGGGAGAGTTAGCTGAGAGATGGACCCCAAAGATGGATCTGCAGCCCTGGAAAGGCTCAGCAAGTCTTCCCTAAACACCCTGTGCACATGGAGATGTCACATAGAGATGGAAATAGAGAAAGATAGAGATAGATGATAGATATAAATATAGAAGTAGATTTAGATATAGATGATAAGTGGCAGCTAGGTGCCACACTGGATAGAGGGCTGAACTTGGAATCAAGAAGACCTGAATTCAAATCCAGCCTCAGACACTTAGTAGCTATGTGAATCTGGGCCCCTCATTTAACTTCTGTTTGCCTCAGTTTCCTTATCTGTAAATGAAGTTCCTTATTGCCTCTGAGTCAAATAAAAACTCCTTAGCCAGACACTCAAGGCCCTCCACAATATGGCTCCGATCTCCTCTTCTACTTTTTTTCGTGGTGCTGTCCTTGAGACATGCTATGCTCTAGTCAAACTACACTAGTAGTGGTCTCTCCAACTCATCTTGACATCTCCAGCATGCATGCCTGGAACATGTAACTGGAACTCCCAAATATGCCATTGACCCCCATGCCTGGAACAGACTTTCTCCCTATCTTTACCCATTGATATTCTTCTCCTTCCTTAAGGCTTCACTCAGGTGCCACCCCCTTCGTGAATCTCTAGAAGTGATCTGTCTTTCTTTACATCTTTCAAGCTACTCTATTTGAGATTCCCCCCACACTTCCCTCTCCCTTCTCCCCACCCCTCACTCCAATGCATGGAAACATTTCCCAATATCTTCTGTGTATTCCTGTCTTTCCTACCACCATACCTTGGATTAATCAATCAATCATTAAACATTAATTAGACATCTAATATGTGCCAAGCACTGTGCTAAGGACTGGGGATACAAAAAGAGGCAAAAAATAGTCCCTGCCCTCAAGGAGTTTACAGTCTAATGGGGAAGACAACATTCAAACAAATACATACAAAGCAAGCTATATACAGGATAAATAGGAGCTAATTACCAGAGGGTAGCTAGGCAGTGCAATAGATAGAATGGATAGAATGCCAGGCCTGGAGTCAGGAGGATTCCTTTTCCTGAGTCTAAATACAGCTTCAGACCCTTACTAGCTGTGTGACTGTAGGCAAGTCACTTAACCCTGTTTGCCTCAGTTTCCTCATCTGTAAAATGAGCTGGAGAAGGAAATGGCAGCTCCTCCAACATCTTTGCCAAGCAAACCCCCCCAAAAAAATCACAAAGAGTCAGTTGTAAATAATTCAACAACAAAACAGAGGGAAGGCACTACAGTTAAGAGGGGCTGAAGAAGGCTTTCTGTAGAAGGTAGGGTTTTAGGTGGAACGCAGGAAAGTCAGTAGTTGGAGTAGAGGATGGAGAGCATATAAGGTATGGAGGACAGCCAGAGAAAATGCCCAGAGCTGAGAGCTGAGAGTTGTCTTGTTCGTTAAATAGCCAGGAGGCCAAAGTCACTGGATCAAAAAGTACATATTAGAGAGTAAGGATTTTAAGCTGTCTGAGATCAAGGGCCATTTCATTTTTCAAATTTGTATTCCTAGCACCTAAACAGAGGCTTTTATGCAATGTACAATTGTTTTGTTCCAAGGAAAGCCATGCACAAGGGAGGGGATGTCTTTGATCTACTTCATCTACTTTGCCTTTGACTGAAAATTGATAGACTGAATCTGAGAGAGCAGACAGCTCAGTATAGCCCGATTGGACTCAATTCTTGCTATAGAATTACATAGTGTCATCCCCCAATTGATAAATGATCAAAGGATGTGAACAGGCAATTTTTCAATGAATAAATCAAAACTATATATAGTCATATGAAAAAATGCTTTAAATCATTATTGATTAAAGAAATGAAAATTAAAACAACTTTGAGATATTATCTCACACCTATCAGATTGGCAAAAATGATAGAAAGGGAAAATGACAGATGTTGGAGGAGATGTGGAAAAATTGGGACACAAATACACTGTTGGTGAAACTGTGAACTGATTCAACTATTTAGAGAACAATCTAGAATTATGCCCAGAGAGTTATAAAACTGTGTATACACTTTAACCTAGCAATACCACTATTAAATCTGTTTTTCGAGGTGATCAGGAAGAAAGGAAGCAAACCTATATGTTCTAAAATATTTATAGCAGCTCTCTTTGTGGTGGCAAAGAACTGAAAGTGAGTCCATCAATTGGAGAAGGGCTAAACAAGTTGTGGTATATGATTGTGATGGAATACTACTGTGATGTAAGAAATGATGAGCTGATTAATCTTAGAAAAACATGGAAAGACTTGCATGAAATAATGAAAAGGAAAGTGATCAGAACCAAGAGAACATTGTATACAGTAACAGCAATATTGTTCAAAGAATAATTGTAAACAAAGTAAGAAAAACAAAGTAAGTAAACAAAGAAGAAGAAAAAAGAAATCACATAGTATTTGAGCTGGAAGGGACCTTTAAGATTTAGCCCAATCCCCTCATTTTACAGAAGAAAAGCCTGAAGCCCAGAGAAGGTATTAACTGGCCTAAGTTCACACAGTGACATTGGTTGACCTGGGACTAGAACCAAAGAGTCTTGGATCCCAGTCTAATGGGTTTTTCCCCATAACATCCTACATTGCCTCATTCTTAACCAAGAGCAGGTTTCTTCAATCTCACCCCATCTTCAATTAAATTTCAATAAAACACTTCATCCCTTATTTCTTTTCTACCTATACCTTAGGTTTATTAGAGGCCTCCATGGATAGTGTTCAACAAAACTGTAACTAGGGTGTGATGGTGGGGGGCTCTGTCCCAAGGGACAAAATTTGGAGGGTACCAAAACTGAATGCACACACTTCTTCAGCAGCATAGAAACTACCATAGTAACTAATCCCCCACTCCCAAATTTGTCTTTGTTACATTCATTATTTTCATACCACAAAGTACAAAGTTCATCTGAAGGTTCACACTTCTTGGCCTACGTGCCAAATGACTAGTTATGACTCTTCTGCTTAGACTCTCTAGGTCAAGCAGGGCCAGAGAAATTACTACTATCCTGGAGCCTGTAAAGAGGCTATGGTGCCACCAATCCCATGTCACAAACAGCCAGGTCTGTATTGGTAAAGATGATGAACCTTTCCAGAAAGAAATACTATTGACAGCAGTTTTATTGGTAACCACTAGACAGCAAAGGGGACATTTAGTGTTTGCAGAGCCAGTACATAATTATCTAGTTTTTGAGCCAACTGCAAATGCTCCTTCTTACTAAGGTGACTCAATTCTCCCCAGAGTGGTCAGATGGTTGGCTAGAAGCCTGTGGGAAAGTTCTTGCCTTTTAGGGGGCACCAATGATTTGATTGTAGCTGTGGGAATGCAAGCAAAGGTTACCAGCTCCAGCCAGCCCCTCCAGTGTGGTTGAGTGAAGCTCCAGGCCAATCTGCATGGCTCTGGCACTACTGACCAATAGCATGACAGGAGCTGAAAGGAATTCATTATCACCCAAGGCCTAATATTAAGGAGACTTGGGGAAGTTTCTGCAGAAGGGGCAGCAAAAGAGTCAGATTTTACTTGAGGGACTCTTTGCTCAGCTGACAGGGAATGAACCCCATTAGGCTTTGATTTGGAGGCAGAAGTCAGTGAATTCCTTTTAATTCCCATCATGCCCCTTGTATGTCAAGATACTATGGCCTTGAAAATTACACTGAAACTTCATTTAGCCATACTGTAGGGAAAGGATGGAACTGATGACCTTTGTCCTGTATTCTTGCAGCTATACCCAAATTGATGCCCCCCTACACACATACATACACACACACACACACACACACACACACACCTTTTTCTAGGGGGAAAAAAATAGCAAAAGCCTGGGTCCTTGCAAGTTTTTCCTGTTGTTCTAGCAACAGGGCCAGACAGTTAGTCACTCAATACTTATCAGATTAAATAGAATCATGACTTGACATCCTGGGTTTGTGTTTCCTTTATCACTATGCCCTGCTGAGTTTCACTGCAGATTTTGTTCATATATTAACCCTAACAGAGTTTAGAAATGGACTTTCAGTTCTGCTAATGAAGCATCAAGAATGTCCCTTTCAAAAGGAGAAGTGTGTCTTCTTTGTCAATTCTCTCCTACCCTTTCTGTCTTCTGCATTCAGACCATTCTCTAGAAAGCCACAAATGGAATTCCAAGACTTTTCCTGAATCTATTTGCAAATTCTCTGAATTACCCCAGATGTGGTAGGGGTTGAGAGTGGGAAGTGGTCTACCTGAGAGGTTAAATAAGTCAGCTCTGCCTCTTAGCTCTCAGCCACAGCTGGAGGGGAGAGAGAAAGAGAAAGAGAGAGAGAGCATCTTCTGGATTCTGGGATCATGAAAGGCTTGAAGTTGTCTCTCCTGGTGGTCCTTTTCCTAGGGCTATTCCTTCATCACAGCCACTCAGGTAAGGAACTAGAGAATCAAGAAAAAGATGAAAGAGGTGTACCATGTATTACTGACCATAGGACAGAGGACCAATATGAGTATTGAAAGGAGGGGAACAGGCAGGGAGACAGCACTAGAGGAAATTTTTGGATAAGTCAAGACGTCCAAATGAGTGGGCTATTGATATATGGGAGAAAGGCTATAGGTGATGAAACAAAGTGCCAGAAGTTGAGTGTTTAGGTCCCAGAGTTTGTGAAGTTCCTGCTCTTCTTATCAATCAAGGTGCTCTTGTTTGCTGCCACAGAAATGTTCTGGTTTCTTTCCAGTTTCCATTGGAGGAATCTGGTCTGTGCCATTGTTCCCACTTTTGGTCTCCGTAATGCTCTGCATCAAATGGAGAAGGCAGATGTAGATCTGTAGGTCACTGGTGGACTTTAATCTGTCTATAGACCAGTGGCCCAGCTCTATTGGGAAGAAGGGGAGGGTATATCAGGCATCACTAGTCAGAGCCTAATACAGCAGAAAGTGTGATGGATGTGGGGTCAAGCACCTAAGTTCAAATCCTGATTCTGCTACTTGTGTGGCCTTTTAACCTCATTTAACCTCTCTGAGTCTCATTTTCCTCATTTGTAAAATTAGATGGTTGGACTTGATGTTTTCTAAGGTCCCAGTTCTAAATCTATGATTCTATGATCATATCACCCCTTGAGATCCCAGAGAAACTGAAGTCTCAGCCACCTGTGTCCCCTAATCCTGTTGACTTCCAAGCCAAACAGGGCAATACTTTGAGGCGGGGGAAGAAACAAACATTTATTAAGTGCCTACTATGTGCCAAGCACTGTGCTAAGTGCTTTACAAATATTTCCTTGGGGGTAGGGCTAGGGAGAGGGGTATAATGTATCTTCCAGAAAAGGAAAAAGCCAGAGAGAGAAACATAAAACCTTTGAGCTTACTGAAGCCTCATTCCACCTCATGCCATCTCTGCCTGCTAAAACTAGTCCCCCATCCCTTGCTCTCCTCAGCTCGAGGACCGAATATAGGAGGACAGGATTGCTGCAATGCCTATATAAAAGGAGCCATTCCCTTCTCCAGGCTGGTGTCATGGTCCAAGACTTCAGCAGATTGTCGCAAGGAGGCCATTGTGTAAGTCTCTACTCTCCCCTGGACTTCCGCTCCAAGGCTGGCAGGGAGGGTTGTGGGGAGGGCAAAACTTGGCATACCAGGCATGAGCTGTCACTCAATCTCTGAGTTAGGGAGGAAGCAGACAGGGCCATTTTCTTGGGGTTTGCTTGGAGTTGTATCCAGAGGTGCACAGGTGCATCTCCAGTATAAGAAAAAAAGAGGTCTTGTACCTTAGTGTTAACTATCAAAACCTTCCCTCTTCTGGGACAGTTTCCATCTTAAGCCTGTCACCCTTCCCCCCCAGCCCCATTCATATCTTTGGCCCTGGTTCAGAGGAAGAAACCAAAAAACTCAGTATCTTCTTTCCACTGTTGTCTCTCCCCACCCCACCTCCATTCACACACACACACACACACACACACTGAGAGAGAGAGAGTGAGAGAGAGAGAGAGAGAGCAGTCAAACTGGAGAGTTTGAGAAGTTCCTGGGAAAAGGTCAGATTGGAAAATGGAAAGTCCAATAGCTCTGGCTACCCTAGAAGCACCTAGGAGTATTTATTCTTTAGTAGAGGCAGGAAGAAATACTGTAATAGCAAGAATAACTTAGAGTCTCCTACTTCTCAGGAAGTAGAAAGAGGTATTTGTAACCCCCAGGTCACACTCATTCTGTTGCTGAGCTTTTGCCGCCTGGGGGTGTCAGTAGATCTAGGTTCTAGTTTAGGCTCAGCTATATAACCTTGGACAAGTCACTTCTACTCTCTGGACCTCAGTTTCCTCCTCTGTAGAAAGAAAGGGTTGAGATAAATGTTCTCTAAGGTCTCTTCCAGCTCAAAATCCTATGGTTCTCTGATCCTCTTCACACAGGTTTGTTACTTTTCTAAAGAAATTCGTCTGCGCAAACCCCAAGGAAAAGTGGGTGAAGACAGCAATCAAGTTATTGCCCAATGACAAGCAGAAGATTGACTCCAAACCTGAAATTAGCTCAGGTCCACAAAACTCGAGTTTATTAAGCCCAACTCAATCCAGTCCCCAAATACCATCCAACAACTCAGCTCAACTCCCCTCAAGAACCCAGCTGAACCCCTCCCAGCAAACCAATTCAACTCAACACCTCAATTCAACATCTCTACTCAATAGCTCTATTCATCTGAAAAACTAAACTCGACACCAACAGTGGTGTTAAACTGAATTGAATTAGAGTCTATGTGGGCAGGAGAAATTTGTAGGGAGAGAGATGGGGAAAATCACTGGTTCATTTTGTTGTCACTGTTGTTGTTCTGACCATGGTCCCTCTCTTCCCTTGTTATTAAAGTTTTGCCTCTATCGACACGTTGCCTGTGTTCTATCTCCCTTGTGTTCAAATGCTTGCCAAACAGCCAAAGAACAAGCCGAAGGGAGGCCCTGGTCTGGAAAAGCCTGGGTTTGGAAGAATGGGCACTGAGAGAGCCCATGGGGCTGGATAGGCATGTGGGAAGAAACTCACCTGTGATATCCAGAGATGTTGAATGGTGAGGAATGCCCTAAATCTTTTCCCTTTCTGAACTCCCCTTTAAAGAGCAACAAAGCAGTGAGTGGTTTTGCCGAGGGCTCTCAGGAGTATATGGAAAGATCCTAAAACCTTTCTCTCCCTCTGCCATCTACACAGCCTCATAGCACTCCTTTCCTTTTCTTCTCTCCAAGACTTCAGAAGAAGATTCCCTCTTGCTTATACTTGCCCTTCCCTGCCTCTGACTTACTCAGAGCTCCTCGATGGCCTCTCAGCATCTGGTCTTATCTCTTTCTTATCTTTTAACCTGCCTGGCTTCACCAGTGACAGATTAACTTTCCATAAACACTATTCCATATAACTGCCCTGTTCTAAAACATTCAGTGGTTCCTGACTATCCATTAGGGTAGGTCTGCCTAGCATTCAAGACTCTCTTTGATCCAGACTCTTCTTATCTTTTCATCTTCTCCTCTTCAGGCAGGTCTATTCACTGGACCTAGAACTGCAGAGTGTACTCACCCATACATTGGTTACTTCATCTGAGTCTTACCTGGTCCAGCTCCCCTCCTCCATCTGAATCTTAGCTGGACTTACAAGACTCAGCTTAAGGCTCATTTTTCCATGAATAGTGATTCATCCACCCCTCCGAATCACAGTAATCTCTCCCTTCTCTGATCTTGACCATATCACATAATTATACATTGCTTTGTGTCATTGTCTAATAGTTTAAAGTAGGCGTACCCTGAATTGCCAGCTAGATTGCAATTTTCTTCAATTTCTAGGAAACATTTCTCCTCCTCTTTCTCCCTCCTCCTCCTTCTCCCCTTCTCCTCATTCTCTTCCTCCTCTTCCTCTTTTTCCTTCTCCTCCTCCTCCTCTTTCTCCTCCTCCTTTTTCTTATTGTCAGTGACTTTTAAGGAGGAAGGGTTAATTGAAGGAGTTTTAGATCAATTTGCTGAATTCCCCAATCAATTGAATGGTACCACAGGGTGCAACAGTTTTTGGGAGGTATTTAAGGGGCACCTCCTTGTGCAGGTTAGGTGTGCCTATTAGTGCCTCGCTGCTAAATCACAGGGAACTTGAGATACGGGGCCATATTCTTGTCAGAGGAGCTGTCCATCCCTCGGGTCTATAAAAAACAAGCTGAGAGACCATCTCCCTGTGTCTTTCTCAGGCTTTGAGAAGACAGACCAGCATGTTCTGGAATAGGGATTAAAGTTGCTCCCATCTGAAATGTCTTTCCTCTAGGAGCTATTGATGGCAATTTGTGGCAGAAGTACATGGTGGAAGTAGACATGTACTTGCATGCAACCTGAGAAGGTAATTAGTGGGTAATATTCCCGAACTCCAACCACCAGTGAAGAGAAAGGGACATTTTTAATCCTTTAAGTGGCATGATCCTGGAATGACCTTCTAGTCAGAAAAGGGAGATTTTCTAGGGAATTGAAGTTTGAGAGTTTGGGGATCAGATCTACAAGAGATAGGAAGGAATTTTCTGTTGTATATTGAGCTCCTTGGGAAAAGTAGAGGATTATCTCGTTCCTAGGTCTCAGTTTCCTCATCTGTAAAATGAGGAAGGTGGCCCTAGATGACTTCTGTGTTCCCATCAAGCTCTAAATCTATAATATTGTCTACCCTTCCGATGCCTCATTTTTCTCAAATATAAGAAATAAGATGTGAGTTTCAGAGGCCATCCAGTCCAACCCTGTTATTTTATAAAAGAGGAAAAGGAGGCCCTGGGAACTTAAGTTGTTTGTCCAAGGCAACACAGGTGATGTGTATCAGAGATGGGATTTGAATCCAAGTCCCCTGATTCTAAGGCTGAAGATCTTCCTACTGTACCATCTGTGATATCTTATCTAACTCTCTAATTTTGTAGCGCTTAACAAATGATTGGGAAACAGTTAGCTTAGTTGTTAAGTGGTGACAGTTATGCAGTGATGGATAGAGCACTAGGTCTGCTGTTAGGAAAACCTGAGTTCAAGTCCTGACTCAGATACTTCCTAGCTGTGTGACCCTAGGCAAGTCACTTCACCTCTACCTGCCTCAGTTTCCTCAACTGCAAAATGGGGATAGCATCTACCCCACAGGGTTATTGTGAGGATCGAATGAAATAATATTCGTATAGCACCTGGTGTATGATACACAATTGATAAAAGTTTGTTTCCTTCCCTTCCCTATGCTACATTATTGTTGTTTGTCCTTCGTTTCAAAGAGGACATTCGGCTAGAGGAAGCCTTCACATGCTTGGGATAGATATCCCCTAACTCACCAATGGGTATGAGGCCTATCAGTTACCTTCAACCTAGGTTAGCCCATCTGCTAAGGGTTTTACCAAGGTGTGACCACTGCACATGCTACAGCTTCTTGGAGCCACAGGTGAGAGTTGAGTGACAAGTGGACACCAAAGGCGAATGAGCAGCCCTGAAAAGGGCTTGTTAAGCCCTCACCCCAGAGGTGCTAGTCCATCCTGAACACCCCATACACCCGGTTGCTTTATACTACGAAGGCTTTGCTTTGTGCTGCCACCTGGTGGCCAGTAACTTACTCCCATGCAGTGATTCAGAGCTCCCACTCCACCTCCAAAAGGGAAAAGAACTTGATTCTCCTTGATCTTTCAGGCCACTCACAGACAATCATTTCCCCACTTTTCCATTTCTAAGGACAATGCCAGGAAGAGTTTCCAAAGACGCAGAGGGATCTTAAGGACAGCCATGTATGGCTTGATCCTAACTAATTTTTTCTGGATCTGGGGCACTTATAGCGGTCTTGTATAATTTAGGCTGAGATAGAAAGTAAAGAAGCCTAAATCGACCTCTGCTACTTTGATCCATTCTGTTCCTAGTTCATCCCTCTGGGGCCAAATAGAAAAACTCCAGTTCTTTCACGTGTCACTGTGTATATTGTTTTCTTGGCTCTGCTTGCTTCACTTTGCACCAATTCGTATAAATCTTTCCATGCTTCTCTGTATTAATTACATTCATCATTTATGGCACAGTGATCTCCCCGCAAAATTCAGACAAAGAAGATGACCTTCCCTAGCAAAGTTAAACCATTCTTTTGTCAAAGATACACAAGTAGCTACATTCCCCTGCTGGAACAAGTTCTCAGGGTCTATTTTCTTTCTTAATAGAAAGGAATCAGTCAATCAGTCAATTAACATTTATTAAGCAGCTACTATGTGCCCATCACTGTGCTAAATGCTGAGGATACAAATACCAAAAAGAAAGACAGTTTCTGTCCCCAAGGATTTTATAGTGTGCAGTAAGGTAAAGTTCACCCTGCCTCATTAATTGATTAACAGGAATTCCAAATATATGTTTTATAACATTGATATACCCTCAATCAGTTTCATATTCATCATAATCTTTGACATGATTCCTCAGCTTTTTAGATATGCATATTAAAACATTTTTGCAAAGTAACTTTGTACAAGGAACATAATTTAAGTTATTTTTTATAATTTTGTAACTTCAAAATAACATAAATATAAGTGCTTCTAACTTCACACTTGATCATCGCAAGTCTCTAATAGGAAATAACATAATTTAATAATTACTTTGAACTATCTTTGCTTAAAATTCTTTATATAGGATGCTTTATTTAATAGTGCATTAACAAATTTCCCCTGAATTGAAAACTACTCTTAAACATCACTGAGAGATTAATACTTTCTGTACATGACGTCATATAACTGCTCTGCTCAAAAGCCTTCAGCAGCCCCTCATTTCCTGTCAGTGCAGATCTGCCTTCTCTCTGCTATTTGTTATCATCATCTCATCCACGCTGAATAATGACTCTATTCCTTCTCTGACTGTCCTCTTTTCCCCAATGTAGTCAAAAGAAAAAATACAATCCACCTTTTTAGTGTTGTCCTTAGCTTGCTTCATCATCTTGAGTGCATTCTAAACTTAAGTATGTTCATATGAGATAGCTCATGCACAGTACTCTACAATTCTTAAAATTCTATGTAAGTGCTAATTCTTTTTATTATCATTATTAATAAGCACTCCTGATACTGTTTTTAATGAATATTTGACATGCTTTTCTATTTATTCTGAACTTTCTATATTTTAATCTTCTCTACATTTCTTGTAAAAATCTGACTTGATTGATCAGTTTTTTGTGCACTAAATCTTTTGGGATGAGCTGGATGGGGAAATAAGGATGAAGAACTGTAGGAATATTGATCAAAAGGAAGTGAGTTTCATTTAGAAGCCATGTTCCAAGGGCTCACATCCCATCCACTATCTCACTCTTTTCAGAGTCTTTTATGGCCTTATCTAGAAACCACAAAAATCTTAGCATGTAACCTAATCTGGGTCTTTCCTAAAATTCTATTCTATTCTATTCTTATTAATTCTTTAATTTCTCTCCACACATACACCCTCAATTTTTTCTATTCCTAAATCAGGGAGGGAAGAGCAGAATAAAGCCCTGTGGTATGGGGAGTGGGTTGATTGACAGATATAATCTGCATGGTCCTGACTAAATAGGGGACCCCATAGGTACACTGTTATCGTAACTCATATTATACATACATGATTACTTTAAAGATGTAATAACAGAGATGACTTTATCCAATGTTTCTCTTAATATCAAGTAAGGCATAAAACAAGGAGACATATCTTTATCAAAGGTATTTGCTATCATAATGGAGGATGTCTAATGCAGAGTTCAAATGAAAGGAATATTCTCTATGGATGGTGAGGTTCTCTCCATGATCCTGTTTGCAGATGGCATTGTGATAACTGCATCAAGTTCCAGAACCCTTCAAGATCTCTTAAATGAGACTGGTAATAACTCAGTTTTTGGCCTAAATATCCACACTCCAAGAAACAAA